GATATTGCATGGACTAGTACCATAGCACAAGAGAGGAAAAAAGACATTAGCACATGACAATATTAGTTTTTGCTATACAACTAATTGCATAAAAAGTACAACTTGAGATCATTAAATCAATATAATTTTCAGCACTACAGAAGGGAAACAAATAGATTTGTATAACCAGCCTATTTCACATCTGCAGTTGGGAAAATACTTCTGAGAGACTAAGTATATGCAAAATGCTACCACTGCTTTCAGAACACAAGGAAAAGTGTTGTTCTGTTTTCTTCGCTAATGTAACATGAATTAAAATGCTGCCTCCACAGAGAACATTTTTTAAACAGCACCAGTATAAACTGGAAGAACCTTTCCAAAAATGATTTGGCAGCTCATATCAAGACTTTTAAAAAATAGCCTATACTCTCAATCCAAGTAGTTTCTTTGCTAATAATACATTGTAACAAAATTAACCAGTGGGATGATAGTTTTATTTTAAATGCTATTCTTCATAATTTTATTTATAATCATGGAAAAGTAGAAATGTAACTAATAGTAGGCCAATGGTTACTTAAATCATGTTAAAACATACAGTAATATAAATTATTTTAATGACAATTTTAATTATATAAGAAAATTTTCATTGTATAACAACAACTGAAGAAAAGCAGGACAGTTTATGTCTATATCTACAGTATATATGTAAAATGTTTGGGGGGAAACTCTTAGAAAAACATACAAAATGTCATTTCTAACTTTTTCAAATTCTCTATTATGAGCAGATACTAGCTTTTTAATCAGAAAATGATATATCTTTTTCTTTAAACAGTCAAACAATTCTATTTCCATGCTCTAATACTCTGTCCTTGTCCAAAGTTTCTAAAAATTCTTTGGGTCAAATATTCTTATAAATACTTATAGGTAAACGGACTTGAAGTTATGCTGACATGTTGTTCGATCCCAAAATCTGGCATAGAAAGAAAAGTATTTGTCAGTCACACAAACATTGCATTTTTTCCTGAGTTAAACATTTTTTTTCCTCACAAATTAAGGAAAAGTTTTATGGGACAAACATTACAAATGCTTACTTAAAGAGCTAGTAATATGATGTACTTTTAAGTCACAAAGTCAAGGAAATTTTTCAATTAAAAATAATTCTAAAGCATATTAAGTAGCCTATTAACTGCTCTCCCAAAATGCAAATAAAAAGTTTGCCATAAGCTTTTGTAGGATTCCTAGTTTCAGGATTCTATTTTTACAAGAAGGACCTGATTTGTCTTAGGCTATTACTGTCTATTACTTCTAGAAGTCTTGAGGAAAGGTGGGAAGCAGCAAATTCTGGCAATCTGCCTAAAGAGAAATCAATGAAACAAATTAATCCTTCGCAGGCTGCAATGACACAGTAATCCATCATTCAGAGCTGCTTTTATATACCAAATCAGAGAGCAGAGCAGAGAGCCCTGGGGGACATCACAGACAACAACTTACACCAACACTGGGAAAATACTGAGGAATCAGTTTATTTAAAGAGGATAGATTTCAGTTGATTGCCTATTTCATCAAATAAAGATTTTTTTTCCTTCACAGTGTGATGAACCCAAGGCCTGATGACTATATCTTCAGAATTCAGTACCATATATGCTGGCTGACATCAATAAGGGATGGGTGTTTTAAAATAATTAGCATCATTAATCAGTATGAACAAATATCTGGATAGAGTAATATTACTTTTTCCATCAAATTTCTAGGTGTTAAACACATTCTCTGTTTGCAGTAGGGACTAACTGTAAATTCACCTACTAATCTATAACTTAACTGACCAATTCCTGGTAAACCACATTTGAGTTATAAGATATATACAACTTCCTAAGTATTGTGTTAAGTTTAAAGGCATGAAAACTTTAATTTCATTTCTTATGGTATAAAGTCCAACAAGCCAACCAAATTATAATTAAATAACTTTATCACGATAAATAGCTCTCTGGCTTACACTAGAAAAGGAAAGATAAATATGGTTTCTTTTTAAAAATAAACTTATAAGCAATGTACAGCAATACATTTATACTAAGTGTATTTGTTTATATATACACAAAAACATATGTATCTAAATTTATTTATGCCTATGGAGAAATTTACACACCTGAGTGTGTCATCTTAGAGCAATGTATTCTGAGTGAAGTATATTCCCTAGATGAAAACTAATGACAAAAACTATAAAGTCACAGTGTATTTCTATTGTTAAATGCATGCATCTTTTTCACAGTTAAATGAGAGAAGTGAATGAAAGAAAAGAATTTTCAAGAAATAAAACAGAAACAAATGTGTCACAATGGTCCCTGAAATGTTAAAACCCAGAATATCTAATCATGAATCAGGGGGAAAAAAAAGTTAAATAAATGCTAACTAGTCGATTTCTGAATGGCATCTTCGATTCTGAGGTCCATGGCCATATGATTGCAATTCCTGGACCTGCTGATGCATTTTTAATTCAATGCATGGATCTAGTATTTATTGATTTAATAAGGTTAGAGGTATTACATTGTTGCTGCTACTGATGAACTGTCAGCAATTTAATCTAGTGAAATCTAACAGAGGAATATATATTTTAGGGAAAGGAGTGGGTAGGGGAAGGGGGGGGAGGCAATAGCTATGTAAATGTCATCCCTTCAATACCCATGATGGTGACAAGACCAAAGCCCCTTCTCTCTCACACTGAGAGCTATGTTGGCTACCAGCTAGCTGAGGTCACAATGAAGAGACTGCAACAAAGTCTTGCAGGTAAACCTTCAATATTAGGGAAATCAAGGACTTATCTCCCATTGCCACCCTCTAACCTCTCCTCAAAGGTTTTGAGGTGCCTGCAGGCACACACATGCACTCACTCCCCAGGACCTGAGCCTTTACCTTCTCACCTCAGGGTTTAAAGGAGGCCTTCAGCAGTTTCTTTTTTGGCCCCTAACATTTTCCAGCGCATCATTAGCATGCAGGCAGGCAGAAAAGAAAAGAGACAATTCACTTTCTCAAAAACAATTCTTCCAAAAATACAACCAAAACAGAGAGGCGTTACACGGTAAGTCAAAAGTGGAGATACTATAGGATACAGAATCAGAGAGGAGGAGGAGGAAAATCCCCCAAAGTTGCTGAAACAGACACTTGGAGAATATTAAAAAGCTTTTCGCACTGCTCCGCTACCCTGCTTGTGGGTTTCTTTCCCCAACCTGGACACCTGGGAAGCGTGTTGTTCTCCAGCTTTTCCCAGACTTTGAAGAAATGGATAATCTAAGGAGCAGTGCTGCTGCTGGGGTCAGTAAAACTATGCTAATTGGTGAACCTAATTGCTTCAAGCAGTCCTGCCTCCAAACAGGGAGAGCACAGTTGATGGAGTCGGTCTGTTCCTAATAAAATGAAGAAGCACTGAATTAAATTCCCAAGGAAGGCACTATAAAAGTTTCCACAGTGTAACCAAATGACTTCACCTATGCTATTACCCCTAAGATGACATCTTTGAAAGAAAGCAGACCCCAGTCAGGCTCCATATTCATAAATTGGCTGAGTTTTAGGCCAGTGAATCTGGATTGATTTAAAAAGGCTTTTTCATCCTTCCAATCAAATGAAGTCATTGTTAATTAGATGCTTTCTGTTAACAATGTCACTCTTCTCCGCATTACCTGCTCACACTTGCAGCGCCTCCAGTGCAACATCTGGACTTTCCCTACCCCCCCAACCCGGCCCCCCAGCTGTCCTCCAAAGTTCGGCTCCAGGGTGGTGGCATTTCCGTTTCTCCATCCCTGTCCGAAGGAAGATCCTATTCAGTGTACCAGAGGCGAGATACACAGCAACTCTGTAGATTGAGAGATGATAAAACAATCTCTGGGAACGCTCCCCAGATACGGGGCTTCCAAAAAAATCATTTTTAATTAACTACGCAGCAGTTTCTCTGTGCTATTTCCCGCCTTGTGGACGGATGTTTTCCACGCTGCCGAAGGCCACAACGTAAACTCCCAGTGACTGTCCAACTTGTTAAAATCAAGCTCCACCTTAGAAATTGGGGTTTGAGGTCTCCCCGACTTGCCCCCCAGGGCCTTGCTCCCTATCCCCTTCTCTCTACACCCAACACCTGAAGAGGACCTGCGGGCCGAGACGGGCAACCCATGGGGCAGCCCAGGGCGCTCCGGGCCCAAGACAGGAGAGAAGCGAGCCGCGCGGGGAGTTAGCCTCGCAGAAGGCGCCCCGCTCGACGGTGGGTCTCCCTCAGAACCTTACAAGGCTGGGCGGAGGCCGGCTTCTGCCTCCGGGTCCATTCCGGAGAGGCTGGTGGCACGGAACCGAGGGGGCACCCGCCAGAGCCCGACCGAGGGCGCGCGCCCGGGGTTCGAGGAGCGTGCGCCACCCCCCGGTCGGGCCTGCTTCCTTCCTGAACCTCCGCCGCGCGGGCCCGGGGCCTCGGTCGCTCCGGCCCGCCCGCGAGGTGTGGGGGGCCTTTGGCGCCCGCGAAGGCGCGGCTCCAGCGCTCGGAGGATGGGGGGGCGCTGAAGGGAAATGGGTGGGGAGGAATCCCGGGGGCCCCCCGAAGGGAAAGTGAATGGGAAGAAATCCAAGGCGGGGGGCGAAGGGAAAATGGGTGGGGAGGAATCCCAGGCCCCCCCCCCCCAAGGGAAAATGAATGGGAAGAAACCCGAGGGGGGGGCGCCGAAGGGAAAATGGATGCGCAGAGCGCAGAATTCGTTCTGGGGACGCCCCTGTGGGAATGAGGAATGTAAGGAGACAGGGGCAGTGAGGGCCCTAGATGGCCGTGGGGATGTCGCGGACTTCCAGCAGGGGCCTCCCTCCCCTGAGGCGGCGTTCGGCGTCGGCAGCGCCGAGGGCCACGCTTGATGCGAGGGCCTCGGCGGACGAAGGGGCCGCCGCCAACACTTTAGAACCCCCGGCGGGTCCCCGAAGGCCTCTCGGGGACCCGCCGCCAGGTCACTCACTTCACCCCGGTGCAAGGAGGTCCTGAGCGGGTGTCGCCTACCTACCGGGACGCAGACCTCGATCTGGGACTCTGGGTCCCTGAGGCAGGCGCTTGGGGGCCAGACGGCCTTGTGGGGGGCGCCCGACGGCCTTGGAGATCACAGCCTGGCCAGTCTTCCCCGCCTGGGGCTGCGGAAGGGGGGCGGTCAGAGGGGCTCGACGGTTAGGCCACCGTGAGTCCCGAATTCCTAGACATCACAGACGGCAGAACCACAGCAGACGAGATTAGACAGTGATGGTGGAAAGACAGAAGCCCCCTCCCCTCCCCCGGAGACAGGCGCATACTGCGAGCGGGAACACTTAACTGCCCTTCTTCAGATCTTTTACCTCGGAGCTTTGCCCTGTGACAACGCCCGCCCGCTCCGCGAGACGGTTCAGAGAAGGGAACTTTCCCAGGGACTCTTTACTCCTGTTACGTCTGCTCTGGAAGGAAGTCCGACAGATAATAGCAGCAGCTGAAACACCTGCGATCTCTCAATACCATTAAAAAAAAAAAAAGGACGGTGACTGGAGTCATTTCTCCTTCCGCTTCCAGAGGGAGCTCAAACCTGAAGCCTCAAGGTTATCCCTAAGTGTGAAACAGGATGCTCGCCAAACCTGAGATGCTCGCACCTGGGGTGGGGGTGGGGGTGGGGGTTCCCCTTTGCCAACCGAAGAGACGACCCGATGGTTCTCCTTCTCGTGTGTTTGTGTGTGAACCTAAAGTGGGGGCTTGTGCAGTGTAACACCCTCCCCTGACCCTCTGGAGACTAGAACTGAGCGAAGGGAGATGAGGAGAAGGGGAAGGGAAGGTGCCCTGGAGAGAGTGGCTGGCAGAAGTCTGAGTGGGGGTGGTTGCGCAAAGGCGGCGGGACCCAGGTGCGCGCGGGTGAATCCCAGCACCGCCGGCTACGGGGCTCTGGGCAGACCCCGCAGAATCCGGCCACGTGCTGGGGCTGCTGTACTCTGACTCTGCCTTTCGGCGATCTACTGACAGAGACAGACAGACAGACAGACAGACACACACACACACACACACACACACCGCGACGCGTGCATCTCTCTGTCCTGAGGTCCCTCTGAGGTTGTCCAGGCCTGAGAACCCCGCGGGTGTCCGTCTGGCACCGCCACTTGGCCATTCCGCTCTCTCTGGATGAAGGGGGTAGCTGCAGCCGGGGAGGGAGGGCAGACGAAGGCGCCCGTCTCTGTGGGCACCCAGCCCCGCGCAGGGTAAGGACTGGTGGAGGGGCCGAGCCCGGGGAGGGGCGGCGTCCTCCATGGCCCAGGCCTCTCCTCCTCGCCACTAGGTCGGGTCACCTGTCATCCCAAGCTTGCCGGGTGCTCGCCACGCTCCGCTCTCCGCGGCCACGCGACATCACCCTGCCAGCCGAAGCTGCGCGCCCTGGCGGTTCCCGGGCGCCCCAGCCCAGACAGCCAGGGCTCACCCCTCACCGCGAGCCTCTAGATACAAACAGCAGTGGCGTCGCTCTTCCTGCCTCCAGATCCGGATCTTATCCTCCCAGCCGGCAATGACTTGCCGGTGTCTGGGGGGTGGTGGTTGTTTCTTTTAAAAGTATATTAAAGGATCATTGGCATCTCCCCGTCAAGTCATTACGCCTTCATCCCCCGTCAATTAACCACACCTCAGAGGGCTGCTATTAAGAGCTAAATTGAGCTGCAAGAGTAGGTATCCCGTTTCGGGCAGATGTTGTCATCTCCCGCAGAGATAAGCGGCGGGCGGGCCGGACCGGCAGCTTCCGCAGCCGCCGGAGCCCCGCTGGACCAGGCTAAGGAGTCTGGTTTGCGGGGGCTGGAAGGGAGGTCTCTGCCCAACAGTGCGCTGGCGCTCCCGGGGCCGCTGGGGGCGGGGGCCCTCGGACCTCAACCGCTGAGCCGTCAAGGGGAAGTGTCTCCCGAGTTACGCCAGGGAAAACGCCAAGAGCGAGCCGTGCGTCTTTACGCAGAAAAGTAGCGTGCAGAGTGTGAGCGAAGCCCCAGCTCCGCGGCCGGAGACCCGGAACGGGGACAGCGGAGGTGTGGCAAGAGGACAAAGTAGTGACTTTGGCTGGCAGCGCTCCACCGGCACACCCCACTTCCTCTTCCCGCCACTCCAGCCTCCTTCCTCCCTGGTGGCAGGCCCCCAGGACCCCTTGTGGAGGAAGGCTTGGTGCTATGGAGATGCTAGATCTGGAGCTAGGGAATCCTGGACGGAAACGTGGCATTTAGGACAAAGGAGGTGCACTGGAAGACCGCCCGTCGTGCTATGTCTTTCCACTCTTCCTCACCCCCAGTCACTCCTGGGGACTTGGAACACGGCTGTCCTGTCGCACGCGGCTGGGAGACGCTGGAGGGCGGAGGAAAGGGGGATGGGGAACAAGGGGACGTGGCCCTCGCTGCAGTTACAGGGCCTTCCTCCCGATAGTGGGCACAATAAATTTAGCCAAGGCTAGAGGAGATTAATTTCCCAGCATAATCCAATTAAAAGATTTCTAAAGTAATCTTTTGCGAAAATGAAAAAAACAGTGCGTGGCTAAAGAGGGGACTGCTTTTGATGACAGTGATTTATCGCCTCGGCACAGCGGGGGCTGGCCGCTCGCTCTCCTGCACGGGATTTGACCAGGGCTTCCCGTCGGTGCCTCCAATCCAAACCTTAGCCTTTCTGAAAGACAGCCATCCATCACGCCAACCTGGGCAGGAGAAACAAGTGCAAGGGACTGGGGTTGCTTACAAGCACCATAGACTTTTTAAAGTGCTATTAGATTTATGGTCTCTTTTTCGACGCCCATCCAGAGTAATTAGCACATATGTTCTAAATAGATGATAGTTTTGTGAGCAATAAAGCAATTACCCATCGTTGGAGCTGACAGTTCCTCCAACTAAACTCCAACCAGCAGCTAATTGGAAAAGTCATTTCAGCTCCATTGTCTGCAATTAGTCCTGCTAAACTACTACACCCCAACTAGCTGGTTTGAGGTTAATTTATTCAATGTTGTATTTGCACGGACGAACCATTGCTACGAAGGGACTTGCCTTTTGCCCCCACCAGACTTCGCACTGGGACTAGAGGAGCAGGTGGGAGAGAGGCCAATGTTTGGGGGTCAGGATGGTTCCCAGGGGAGGAAGCGCCTGGCCGGGCCTCAGCTTCAAGGTCAGTGTCCAGCGCACTAAGCGCTGCCGCCGACAGAGAAAGCCATTGTTTCTCCTGCTGGGCAGTAACTGAAAGAAACTGCTCAGTTCTCAGTTTGTGCTACCAAAAGCTGAGTGTTAAAAAAAAAAAAAAAATCAGCATAGAGGAGGTGACTGGGTTCTAAGGGCACACCTTCCCTGCTGCACACCCAGCGTGACCCTGGGCCACCTAACTGTCCCTGAAGGGTAAAAGTAGACTCAGACTCCAAAACAGCAAAACCCCGAGCCCTCTTCCAAGTCGGGGGAGACGGATCTTTCAGGTCTTTCAATTCTCGGAGTGGCTGGTGAAAGAAAAGACTAGAAAGGTCAGGCAGACTAGAAAGCCCTGCTTCTGCCTTCAGCCTCTCTGAGTGCAAAGTCCCCTTGAAACTGGTGGGTTGACAAGAATTCCTTTCTTCGCTTTTTCTTTTTCTTTTCCTTTCTTTCCTTACCTTTTTTCTTCTTTCCTTTCTAAAGTTAAGCCAAACAGGTCCCAAGATTTGTGCACAGTGAGTGGAAAAAATGTGTTAAACGTCGGTTTGACGCCCCACCGGAGCTTCCAAATATCCAGCGGCTGGGATTCTTCTACTTAATTTAATCTTTATTGGACAGGGCAGCTCCTACACTCCTATTCACCAGGAAACCCCGGGAAACAGATCCATTGGGGTTCAGAACTGAGGGTGGGAAGAAGAGTTAAAGAGGGATTAATCCTCTCCCACCCAACCTCGAACTTTGGAACTGTGATCTCCACTAGGCTGGGGTTAGGGGAGGGGGCCCAAGGTCCCAGCCCTGACAGCCAAGGGTCTCTGCAGTCTGGAGCAGGGGGTGGGGAGACTGCCAGGCTAGATGGGAACTTGTAGCCCTGGTAACCGAGTATTCCCTTAAAGGAATTTACATTCTGGGAGCTATTCGAATTTTACTTAGAAGAATATGAGATTGGGGGTTGGGGGCCAGAACGGTTTCTTAGGAAGTAAAGCCCAGTGCCTTCAGCCCTAGAAATCAAATGTCCTTTTCTTGATAGCCATTCATACCTAACAACCTGAGACTGTTTCTCCTTTATGAAGGACATGTAACAATGGCTAAGAAGACAATTCAAATAGTACTGTAGTCAATATGTGAGACTTACTATAACAATTCTCATTTCAAAACAAATTATAATCAGTTACTCAGCTTCAAAGATTTGAAAACATCTATAGCAAAAAAAAAAAAGGCAAACTTTTAAACTGCCTAATGTCAGGCAGGCTCTTGTTTTCCAGTTATTTTTGTTTTAGCCAATTTAATTCCAATAAAAAACAAAAACAAATTACTGGGGAGAAATTGAAAGTAATGGTCTCATCTTACCCCATCATTTCCCACCTGTCATACACCTTCTACCCTCTAAAGAGAAATTCTCCTGTCAGTGTGGCTTCCAGTTGAAAGTGGAAAGGAAATAAGATGTCTTCACTAAAAGACTGCTCATCGTGTTCTCAATTACTTGCTTTTTTTTTCAGGACTTAAATATGACATCCTAGAGAGTGGGTGGAGGGGGCTAAAAAAAGAATCAGCTGACACTATCACCTGGACTTGGTAGAGAATCCTAATGTGTGGATGCATACTTATATGTAAGTGCAAAAAAATAAAAACCCACCCAAATCCAGAATGTATGGGACACATTTATGTAAACATCCTTACACTCCCCAAAATCTCTAAGCACATGTGTACAGAGATGTAGTCCTATGCAAGTTCAGCTAGCTGTCTACACACATGTATTCACTCCTGGAGTAAAGGCATTTTCATTGCTCCCCATAGTTTCTTTCCATTAAGGGCGATTAGATGATGTCTATTCAAAGTTGCTGATCCAGAGAGAAAATAAGAGTAGATAAAAGGAGATTTCAAGTGACCTCCTCGTCCCTTTCACACCAACCTGAGCCCTAGAATAGCCAAGGATCAAGCAACACAAAAGCCCTGTCCTTTCTCTTTTCAGTTTCAGAAGATTTCATGCAAATGGTTAACAATAAAACATAGAACTATCACCAAGTTTGTTAGATCACGCATTGGAAATACTTTATTAACTCCTCCCACAGATGGGCTAGGTTTATTATCCACCTCTGAAGTGGGTAAATAAAATATACATAGCAAAACAGGGGATAATTATTTACTGCTCCATGTGGTTTGTATCAGTGGTGTACTATGCTG